TCCTCACTGTAAGGGAGTCCCACTATTTGCGGTCTAAACCCTAAACCCTAAACCCTAAACCCTAAACCCTAAACCCTAAACCCTATAGAAGAGGGCCCTAATTTGCGTAAACCCCCCATATGTAGATATACGAAGTTATCTGTATATATACACACATTATGCACACTCCTGGCAAGCCTTGGCCTTTAGGCCCGAAAGCAGTCAGCCCTGCATCTTCGCTCTTCTGCTTAGGGTTTAGGGTTTAGGGTTTAGGGTTTAGGGTTTAGGGTTTAGGGTTTAGGGTTTAGGGTTTAGGGTTTAGGGTTTAGGGTTTAGGGTTTAGGGCTTTAGGGTTTAGGGTTTAGGGTTTAGGGTTGATGGTTTAGGGTTTAGGGTTTAGGGTTTAGGGTTTAGGGTTTAGGGTTTAGGGTTTAGGGTTTAGGGTTTAGGGTTTAGGGTTTAGGGTTTAGGGTTTAGGGTTTAGGGTTTAGGGTTTAGGGTTTAGGGGTTAGGGGTTAGGGTTTAGGGTTTAGGGTTTAGGGTTTAGGTCCGGGCTTAGATTCGGGTCGTAGGGTTTAGGGGTACTCGGGGTTCAAGGCTTGAGAGTCTAAGGTTGCAGGGTTTAGGGACGGTTTTGGGCCTTAAGGTACAATAAGCCCTAAACCCTAAACCCTAAACCCAAAACCCCAAACCCTAAACCCAAACGCTAGCCCGGCCTTAGAGCCCTTGAAACTTGAGAACTTTGCGATTGCGGGTAAGGGCTTTCGGGTTATTCATCACCTAGCATAAAAACCAAGAAGCAAAAACACAGACCACAAGCAAAACCTTTAAACAACCCTGAACAAAACACCTAAACAAACGTGAAGCAAAACCGTACCAAAAGGAAAAACAAAAACTAAAAACCCTTAGAACCCTTGAAGCCCTTAGCAAGAAAAGCCAACAACACTTAAAACAAAAGAAGAGCAGACTAAAAACCCTTAAGCAAAGCCCTCTAAACCCTACAGCTCCACCTTGCTGGGTGCGGCGACGGGCTGGACATTCCTGAAGGGGGTCGTCGGGATTTGGAGCTTAGGGGTTTTAGCGTTAGGGCTTTGTTAAGGCTGTTAGTTTTTGTGTGTTCCTGAAGGGGGCTGTAGGGATTTAGAGCTTAGGGGGGTTGTAGTGTGAGGGCTTTCTAAGGCTTTTAGGGTTTTTTTGTTTTTAGTGCTTGTAGGGCAAGGGTTTTCAGGGTGTTTGTGGGGCTCTGCAGGTGTTTAAGGTTTGGGCTTTAGGGGTGGAGGGGCCCCGGACATCTGATTTCGGAACACCCGTCAAACATGTACTTGGAGGTTCATGGTACTTATTAACCAACTAGAACTGCACTTATAACCCACTTACAACCCCATTGAGTGCCCCAAGATGGCTATAAGTAGAGTTCTGTGGTTACTAAGTACCATGAACCTCCAAGTAGTAGGTCCTCGCCCCTCGCCCTAAACCCTAAACCCTAAACCCTAAACCCTAAACCCTAAACCCTAAACCCTAAACCTCCATGTAGGAGAGTTTAGGGTTTTCTAGGAGGGGGCCCCAAGCTAGAACTAGAGATAGAGGGCCTCGCAGTTGGGGGTACCGTTAGTGCAGTAAACAGGGGCCTTAATACTTCAACTACAAAGGGACCACAAGGTCAAACTTTATAGACCTGAGCCCCTGCACCCTAAACCCTAAGCTCTATTTTCCCTTCCACAATGTCTTCTCATCGGTTCTCTTTGTATGCAGGCTGAGTAGCGCTTGGTTTCGGGCTTGATGTCAACAAAAAACGTTTCGGGTTTGGGGTTCAGGGGTTGAGGTTTGAGGGGCGATGGTGTGTGCACGTTGTCTCCACGGCATTTCACATGCAATGAGTGCCGTTGCGTGTGAGGGTGGAGGGCTCTGGGTCCAAACCCTCAGCCCCAAACCCCAGAATTGCATTGACCTCTAAACCTACACTGGTGTTTAAGGTTTGGGCTTTAGGGACGTTAAACGACCCGTGAATGCCAGAATTCAAAACTCTGAACATATAACTGCTGCACTTAACCCTGAACAGAGCCCCAGAATTCAACACCAACAAATCCCTGGCGCTAAAGGAGAGTAGGGTTCGACCGGTTTAGGGTTTAGGGTTTAGGGTTTAGGGTTTAGGGTTTAGGGTTTAGGGTTTAGGGTTTAGGGTTTAGAGGCACTTAGAGGTTTAGGGAGACAGGAAGATGACTGGAGGAACGGAGCCCTGTACAATCTTCCCACAAATTCTCTCAGCGCGGCACCCTAAGCCCCCTAAGTCCCCTGAGCCCCCTAAGTCCCCGAAACCCTAAACCCTAAACCCTAAACCCTAAACCCTAAACCCTAAACCCTAAACCCTAAACCGCCCCCTGAGCCCCCCTAAGCCCCCTAAGCCATTGGTACCCATGCCTGGCCTCCAGCACTCTAACCGTAACTTCAACGCTGAACCCGATGTTATTGACGCCTCCCTTCCCCTGAAGCAGCAGACAGGTTCGTAACCCTAAACCCTAAACCCTAAACCCTAAACCCTAAACCGAGAGCCCAAAAACCCTCAACCCTAAACCCTCCACCCTCAACCCTCAACCCTAAACCGTAAACCTTAAACTCTAAACCCTCAAAACCGGCCCAGGGTCAAGATGTAGGCACGGCGGCTCGCGTCCCAGCCCAACACAGTCGCAGGGACCCAGGTGCCGTAGGAAGAGCTGGCATGGGTTTAGGGTTTAGGGTTTAGGGTTTAGGGTTTAGGGTTTAGGGTTTAGGGTTTAGGGTTTAGGGTTTAGGGTTTAGGGCTTAGGGCTTAGGGCTTAGGGTTTAGGGCTTCGGGTTTAGGGTTTAGGGTTCAGGGTTTAGGGTCTTTTGGGGCTTGTGGTTTGGGGTTTTGAGGCTTGGGGTTTTGGGTGTCGGGTTTCGGGTTTGGGGTGTCGGTTTAGGGTTTCAGGCTTGGGGTGTCGGATAAGGGTTTGGGGTGTAGGGGTTAAGCGTTTCGGGTTTGGGAATTGGAGTTTATGGGATCGGGGTTCAGGGAGAGCTTTTGGGCGTTCGGCAAACAGCCTAGATTTTAGAGGACTTATGTTTTTTTGAAGATTTGGGGCGTAACCCAAAACCCTAAACCCTAAACCCGAAACCCTAAACCCTAAACCCTAAACGCTGCTTTGCAGGGTGTCTAGCCTCCATGGTTAAACCGTTTAGCCCTCCCCAAGGCCATACATGAACCCCAAAAGAAGGGAATCAAATGCCCTGATGCTACAGTGTTTTCCGGCTAGAAGCACAAGATGGAAGAGCATACGTACCCTAGACCCTAAACCCTTTAAACCCTAAACCCCCAAACCCTAAACCCTTCAAAGGGCTGGTTTCGAAAGCAGCTATTGCAACTAAACCCTAAACCCTAAAGCCTATACACCCTAAAACCTGACAGGCGTGCAGCCTTCGGGGCGCCATGTGCTTCAGGGCTTGGGTATAAGGAGGGATCCCTAGAAGGGAGCCTAAATCTTATTCCCCTAGATTGCCCTAGATAACCCTTTTTTCCGTATAGAGTCCCTGTATACCTAAGTAGCCCCAAAATAACCCCTAAATCACCCCCCTAAGGTCCCTCATAAGCGCAAAAAAACGCAGCCCGCCTGTAGTATTCAGCGGCCTCCCCCTTGGCCAACCGCTCCTTAGGGTGACATCGGTCCCTAAACCCTAATTTAACCCTTAACACTTAACCCTTAACCCTAAACCCTAAACTCCAAACCCTAAACCCTAAACCCTAAACCCTAAACCCTAAACCCTAAACCCTAAACCCGAAACCCATCACACCTCAGGGTCGGTCGTTATTGACCAGACCCAAAGCCCGAAGCAGGTTTGCGGTTCAAAGTGAAGGCGTAAAGTTGAGGCTGCCCAAAACGCTAAACAGCTACGAGCAGCTGGGGGTTTTGGGTTGAGAAACCGTAAGAAACCCTAACCCTAAACCCTAAACCCTAAGCCCTAAGCCCTAACCCTAAACCCTAAACCCTAAACCCTAAACCCTAAACCCTAAACCCTAAACCCTAAACCCTAAACCCTAAACCCTAAACCCTAACCCTAAACTGTAACCCTAAACCCGAAAGAGAGTTTTTGGAGGACGGGTATCAGGGGAGCGGTTTTGGGGGAGATATCAGGACCTAGGTCTGAGGGTGTCGGTTTTAAGGAGTAGGGTGAGGGTTCTAAGCGTTTTACTAGGGTTTGAAACCCTAAACCCTAAACCCTAAACCCTAAACCCGAAACCCTAAACCCTAAACCCTAGGGCTTAGGGTTGCTTCAGCGTCGGGCTCAGGGGCGTTTGAGGCTTGAACTCGTGGCGAAACTGCCTCAGGTCTGGGGGCTTGATGCAACAGACATCAGACTCTTAGGAATATACCGCCCCTCAACCCTAAACCCTAAACCCTAAATCCTAAACCCCAAACCCTAAACCCTAAACCGGAACCTCAACTAAGCTGCCAGCGGGATCCGCATCCGGAGGTCCTTGCCGCAGTCGACATCTACACGTGCCACCCACCGGGGAGCTGCAAGTAGGGTTTGGGGTTTTGGGGTTTAGGGTTTAGGGTTTGGGGTTTGGGGTTTTGGGGTTTAGGGTTTAGGGCTTTGGGTTTCGGGAGTTCAGGTTTTTGGGTGGAGTTCTCGCTTTCTAGGACCTCGTGGGGGAGGATGGAGAGCTCGCCCTCGGTCTTACCACCTAAAACCCAAAACCCGAAACCCGAAACCCCACCTCCTAGGATCCAAAACATCAATGCAAGAGCCCTGCACCGCCTTGAACCATGTCTAGGGGCTCTACACCCTCTACATGGCTTAGGGTTTAGGGTTTAGGGTTTAGGGTTTAGGGTTTAGGGTTTAGGGTCGGCCCGAACCCCAGACCCAAAACCCAAAACCCTACCATCTTGCTCTAAGCTTTGCTTCTGTGCCAGCAGGAGTGGATCAAGCCTCCGCTAACCCGAAACCCTAAACCCTAAACCCTAAACCCTAAACCCTAAACCCTTGCTGAGTGTTTTTTGGCACTACTTGTACCAGCGATCCAGCAGCCAGTATGCTGGCGCTAAGGAAGCCTTGACGACCGGGAGGGAATAGAGGAGCCAACCTATGAATGCCATTAAAACCCTTTAAAACAAATGTTCTGAATATGATCTAAGCCCTAAACCCTAAACCCTAAACCCTAAACCCTAAACCCTAAACCCTAAACCCTAAACCCTCAACCCAATTAAGGGAAAATATGAAATGTCCCAAGGGCTTACCGAGCAACGTGCGTTGGCTCGGGAGGGGCCGGAAGGGTTCAGCAGCGCGTTGGAGAAGCGGGCAGCCACTTCGCTCTCCTAGAGGTTGCCGTTTAGGGTTTAGAGGCGTTTAGGGTTTAGGGTTTAGGGTAAAAACAAACAAAGCGTTCTTTGTCCCACCGACCGAAGAATCGGAACATGAGGATAAAGGGTACAGTACCCGAAATCCTAAACCCTACGCCTTATCAACCCTGAACCCTAGATCCTAAACCCTATAACCCTAAACCCCAAACCCCAAACCGGCGTGCGAGTCTCCTCGGGGTGGGGGTACACTTGCGGGAAGCAGGGGCTGACCTGCTCGCTGATGCCTTGGGTGGCGGCACTCTGCCAGTTGATGTTGTGGTGGCACATCCTTACGGGCTTAAGACTCGGTTTAGGGTTTAGGGTTCCGGTCTAGGTTTTAGGGCTTAGGGTCTAGGGTTTAGAGTTTGGGGTTTAGGGTCCAGGGTTTATAGCGTTTAGGGCTCAGGGTTTGGGGTTTCAAGGGAGTCAGACTCCAACCCGGAAGCCCCGAGGGTGTACCCCTAAGAGGTTTCCCTGGCCCTGAGAGGATCCTGTAGAAGGCCCAAAACCGAGGGTACAACCTTAGGGGCCCAAGGCAGAGTCTAGGAGGGAGAAGCTCAAGCCTAAGCTTTAGGGTTCAAGGGGAGGTTATACATCATCCTTATCGGGCTTCCCAGGAAAAAAAGAGTCAAGTATGAACTTTGTGTTCATAAGGAAATGGGGGGTTGCAAATCATCAGCAACAAAAGGTTCAACGTCTGTCTGCTCAGAACCTGAGTATCTTGTTCTTGTCATCCCAACACGCCGCCCCTTCCAAGCAGAAGACGTCGAAGCGCATGGACCCGTGGCGCTGGAAGCGTTCGGGGTCCATTCCTCTGGGCGTAGGCATGGCCTGCACCTGCTTAGTTGTCCAGTATCCTAGGAAACCCTAAACCCTAAACCCTAAACCCTAAACCCTAAACCCTAAACCCTAAACCCTAAACCCTAAACCCTAAACCCTAAACCCTAAACCCTAAACCCTAAACCCTAACCCTAAACCCAAAATCCCCTTATAGTCCCAAAGGTAGGCATTATATAGGGCTTACAAGGCACCCAACAGGGTAAATGGCTACATGTTCTACTACTAAGCCTAGGTTCCCCAGAAGCCTGAGAATAGACAGCGGTTCTTTGAGGGCTGAGAGCTCAGGGTTCCCCGGAGGAGCCAAAGAATGTTTAGGGTTTAGGGTTTAGGGTTTAGGGTTTAGGGTTTAGGGTTTAGGGGGTACCCTTGTGTGATGAGTGAGACTTTGTTGATAGGGTTTGACTGGGTAAGTGATCCTAAACCCTAAACCCTAAACTGCTCACCCCAAAAGCAAAACTCATCACACAAGGGTACCTTCTAAACCCTAAACCCTAAACCCTAACCCCTAACCCCTAACCCCTAACCCCTAACCCCTAACCCCTAAACCCTAAACCCTAAACCCTAAACCCTAAACCCTAAACCCTAAACCCTAAACCCTAAGCTGCCATTGGGGGTCCGAGGCACCCAGGGAACCAGCAGCTTGGGTTCGTAGAGGCTGCCCTGCAAAGCTAACCGGGCGCCGGAGAGCAGCTTCTGCGTGCTGTGCGGCACTAAAGGGCCTGGGGTTTAGGGTTTAGGGTTTAGGGTTTAGGGTTTAGGGTTTAGGGTTTAGGGTTTAGGATTTAGGATTTAGGGTCCCCCCCCCAAGGGCTTCTAGGGCTTGTTACTTGTCTGCTTTGATGCTAACCCAAGCTGCTATACCCCCTCAACACGCTAAATCCTGAGACTCTAAGCGCCAGACTCTACACCCTGTCCACCCCCTCCATCAACACCCAAAACCAAAAAGCAAATCACGAGATACTAACTGGGGTTTGTGGAGCCTTAGTAGCCCAGGAACCATATTATAATAACGGCACCTTTTTTGGGTTGGTTACTTTTATATAAAGGAACCCAGAACCAAAAACAAGGGTAAAGGGTACCACTGGGCTCCCATTCCCTAACCCTAAACCCTAAACCCTAAACCCTAAACCCTAAACCCTAAACCCTAAACCCTAAACCCTAAACCCTAAACCCTAAACCCTAAACCCTAACCCTAAACCCTAAACCCTAACCCTAAACCCTAAACCCAAAAACAAGTCACGAGATACTAACTGGGCTTCTAAGGAGCTGTAAAGCAGTATGTCGCCCAGGGCCAGTGCCGGCGCAAAGGCAATCCGGCCAGCCATCTGACAGTCGCCCTTCCTTTTTGGGGGTTTAGGGTTTAGGGTTTAGGGTTTAGGGCCTAGGGCGGTTGGGGGCTTGCCGGTTTAGGGCTGAATGAGTTGTAGGGCTCATGAGACCGAACCGGGCTTCATAGAAGTCCCGGATACGGGGGTCGACACCCTAATATAGACCCCCGAATAGTAGGATTCCCTTCTACTAGGGACCCCAACAAGGTACCCCAAATTTCGGAAACTTTTCATATATAAAATAGTAGGGTTTAGGGTTTAGGGTTTAGGGTTTAGGGTTTAGCCCTTATACTAGGGACCCCAATAAGGTACCCCAAATTTCGGAAACCCCCACATATGACCGACCGGGTTTAAGGTTTAGGGTTTAGGGTTAGGGTTTAGGGTTTAGGGTTTAGGGTTTAGGGTTTAGGGTTTAGGGTTTAGGGTTTTTCGCCTTCCAAGGCTCAACTCCCCTGTCGCCTTCATGGCCGCATCCGCCCGGCCCTCGAAGCAGGGCGGGAAGAAGTCGCGGAGCTTCCTATACTCCCCTTAGAACCTTAATAAAAATAATAATATGTTTAATATCCTCTTGGGTTTTATATAAACAAAAACACTATCTTTAAATCCCCTCTGGGTTTTTTATATGAAAAATAAGACATAATTCCCAAGGGGGATGTAGCTTCGTGTAGGCGCTCATGGGCAGCACATTCAGGGAGCCCCCGGTCAGGTTGCTGAGATTCTGCGGGCCCAAGGGCAGGAAGAACCGGATCCTTGGTGAGGAAACGAACCTTAAACTTGGGGGCATAGACCCTATGCTGCTGTAATTCCCCTAAACCCTAAACCCTAAACCCTAAACCCTAAACCCTAAACCCTAAACCCTAAACCCTACTGAGGTATATGGACCATAAACCCTTTTTGGGGCTCATTTGGTCTCCCAGGATCAGTGGCACACTTAGAGGCGACTGGTCTCGGAGGTTGCTTGGCACCGCATCGGTGCCCCACGCCACCTGGACGCATAGAGAGCGGCCTACTTGGGGGTTGTGGGTTTAGGGTTTAGGGTTTAGGGTTTAGGGTTTAGGGTTTAGGGTTTAGGGTACTTATTAACCAATTCTAACTGTACTTATAACTGTACTTATAAGCCCCTCAAGTGCCCCAATATGGATATGAGTACAGTCATTAGAACAGTTGTAAGTAGAGTCATAAGTGGTAAAGAAGCACCATGAACCTCCAAGTAGGAATAAAGAGCCGTGCCCTTCTTGGTTCAAAAGGGGGCTGATAATCGGGAACCTAGACCCTAAACCCTAAACCCGGAACCTAACCCTCCCCCCCAAAAAAAACAAAAAGAAAAAAGGGTTTAGGGTTTAGGGTTTTGGGTTTAGGGTTTAGGGTTGGCCGTACTCTGTGCTGCAGGCCACCGACCCATTCTGCCCCTCCAGCAGCAGCGTCACTTCCTCGTGACCGTAGCGGATGGTGCTGGCGTTGGGAATGAGCTGTGCCTAGGCTGCCCAGTAACTTTGGGTTTAGGGTTTAGGGCTCAGGGCTTAGGGATTAATTAGGGCTTAGAATTTAGGATTTAAAAGGGTGCCCCTTTTTGCTTAGAGGGGTTTGGAAGGGAACCTGAACCCCCCCAAAAAAAGGAATACTGGGTATACTGACCATCCTAGGTGCCGCTAGGCATCCCAGTGGGCTGTCCTTGTGCACTTGGGGATAACATGAACCATTAAAAATGGGGGGGGGGGGGCATATACCCTATACCCCTAAACCCTAAACCCTAAACCCTAAACCCTAAACCCTTTTAGGGCTCATTTGGTCCCCGAGGGTCCTTGTGCAGCACGAACTTTGCAAAAAGCTCGGAATCCATCCAAACGTTTGGCGCCGACAGTGCCCAGTCTTCTTTTCTGGGTTGCCCAATGGCATGTGGGGGTTTCATAGGGTTTAGGGTTTAGGGTTTAGGGTTTAGGGTTTAGGGTTTAGGGTTTAGGGTTTAGGGTTTAGGGTTTAGGGTTTCAGAACACAAGGGACCCCCAATATAGACCCCAAACAATAGGACTCCTTTCTAATAAGGACCCCAAAATGCTACCCCTAAATTTGGAAACCCCCCCCATATGGGAATGAAAAGGTTCCGCATTTGGGCCCAGGTTGTGTGTATGTACGGGATCCCAATAGGCTTCCCAACCTCTCAAACACACCCAGGAAGAATAAGATGATTTCACTATCCCTACAAAATACTGCAACGCCCAAAACAAACATCTATGGGCCAAGTTTAATACTAACAGTAGTCCCTTACGGTCCCTTGATAATTATACTAGAATGGCACCCAAAACCTATTCCAATTATTAAGGTACCTATATCACACCCTAAACCCCAGACCCCAGACCCCAGACCCCAAACTCTAAACCCCAAACCCCAAACCCCAAACCCTATTCTATTATTGGCCAAAGTAAGTTTCTGTGGCTTCGGCTTCATGCGGCACTTCACCTCAGCCGCCAGTTCGGCGATCACCGCTGGATCGAAGGCCTGGCGCAGCACCACAACTCCTTCCTTGCCTCGGCTTCGGAGGGGTTTAGGGTTTAGGGTTTAGGGTTTAGGGTTTAGGGTTTCGGGTTTAGGGTTTAGGGTTTAGGGTGTTTTTTTTAAAGCAAGTATAGTACCTTGGAGGCTGACCCTGGAGCGCATCTGATCCTGGCCCAGACCAATGCTCAAGCGCATTAATCTTGCAGGGGAATCCCTTGCCCCAAAAACTGAGAGGGTTTAGGGTTTAGGGTTTAGGGTTTAGGCCCCTAGACCCTCGACCCTAGACCCTAAGCCCTAACCCTAAATCCTGAACAGCACAGCTCCGCCTACTACTGGTTCATAGCAGGGCACCTGGACCCGAAACACAAACAGGGGCGGGTAGTATCCCTAAACCCTAAACCCTAAACCCTAAACCCATATAGAAGGGGCGGTATTGGGGAACCCCTGATGCTGGGGAGCCAAGTTGCCAAAGAGCTCCCGAGATTCCTCGGAGATCGTCGCGCACGTGAACTTAGAATTCTCAAGGGTGCCCGCCTGGGCTGGCCCTTAAAATCCCTCTGAAGGTTTAGGGTTTAGGGTTTAGGGTTTAGGGTTTAGAGTTTAGGGTTTAGGGTTTCGGGTTTATAAGGTTTAGGGCTTATAAGGTTTAGGGTTTAGGGTTTAGGGTTTAGGGGGCTCTTTTCAATCCCAAAAAGGGGGGGGAAGAAAGAACACATCCCAAGGGCCTACCAAGCTGCATTGCAGGAGCCTTCCCGCACATAGTCACGGTCCGAAGCTTCGAAGTCTGGCTTGAAGAGGCCAGGGAGGAGCAACCTAGTTCTCATGGTTGGGAAAGTACAAAAAATTGAAGAATTCTACTCCTTTTTGAGTTTAAGTACCCTGAAAAGGCCCTTAAGCATGAAACCCTAAACCCTAAACCCTAAACCTATGGGTTCCCCTACTACCCCCCTCTATACTCCCCCCCCTAGGTTCCCCCCTTAAATACCCTTAATTAGCTTAATTGGCCCGAAATAGCCTCAATTATGGGGGAACCTAGGGGGGGTAGTATAGAGGGGGGGTAGCAGGGGAACCCCTGATCAACCCTAAATCCTAATTCCTAACCCCTAAACCCTAAACCCTAAACCCTCTATGACGAAGTAACGCCAGCAGCAGACCCAGGAGAGCCCAGAGTCCCAATGCAGTGTTCATGGCCATGGCACCGTTGCGCCCTCGCAGCTCTAGCCAAACTTGAAGCTACACCCCTAAACCCTAAACCCTAAACCCTAAACCCTAAACCCTATACCGCAAAACCTCATTCAAACCCAAAACCCTAAGCCCTAAACCCGAACGTGATGGAGTGCGTAGACTCAGCCCACAGACGGTTGGCTGAGCTGCCCCTTCCTCTCGAAGCTACTACAAAACTACGATGGCGCTTACAACCCTATCTTTAAAAATGATCCAGAATATGATCATCTCCCTAAACCCCAAACCCTAAACCCTAAACCCTAAACCCTAAACCCTAAACCCTAAACCCTAAACCCAGCAAGGGAAAAGAAGATAAAACTGTCCCAGGGGCCTACCTACGGCAAGGCTGTCGAGCCCTGAGGCGATTTCAGAGTACGCTGGGGCGAAATATTATCACAAGAATAAGACCAAGAATAAGAATAAGAGCAATAATCAGAATAAGAATACATATAACATTAAAAGCAATAATAAGAAGAAAGAAGAATAACATTAATACTACGCACATAATGATCATGGTAGTAACAGATGGTAACAGTGACCGAACTTGGAATAGAAAAGTAAAATCGTAATGATGATATATTGTGTTTACGCAATGAGCGTCATGAGGCAAGCTGCTCTTTCAATAAGGTAGGTGATAGGGTTTTCAAAGGCGAACTGATCTACTCTTCGGAACACCACCTTGAGGTCAAGGACCCTAAACCCTAAACCCTAAACCCGAAAGGGCTCTGAGCCACACCAGCCTTACACGATTTAGGGAGGCAGGATGCCACGAAGGAGGACGAAAAGGCCCAAACTCGCAAACCCAGAAAGGGATTAGGGTTTTGGGTTTGGGGTTTAGGGTTTGGGGTTTGCGGTTTGGGTTTAGGGTTTAGGGTTTAGGGTTTAGGGTTTAGGGTTTAGGGTTTAGGGTTCAGGGTTCAGGGCTTTGGGTTGGTTTAGGACTTAGGGTTTAGGGTTTAGGGAACATCGAAAGCCGACTGGGCAAAGGGGGGTTTAGGGTTTAGGGCATTGGGTTTAGGATGCGGGGCACCGGTTGTTGAAGAGTTTGGATCTCTGGCCTTTCAAAGCCAAAGAACCCGAACCGGAGCATCCCATCCCAGCCTTATATACCCTATGCAACCCAAGGGCCATACCCTATGCAACCCAAGGGCCATACTTCAGAACCCTTTAAAGAAGGTAAGGGACCATATTAAGGGCCCATGTAACTACCCCACCCTAGAACCCTAAACCCCCTTTGACAAGGGGGAAGCCTCATTACGGGCCCATGAAACTATCCTTAGATCCCGGAGCATCCCTGACTCCTACTTGGAGGTTCATGGTACTAAAACCCTAAACCCTAAACCCTAAACCCTAAACCCTAAACCCTAAACCCTAAACCCTAAACCCTAATTAAATTCACCAACTATAACTGCACTTATAACCCACTTATACCCTAGACCCTAAACAGTTATGATTGGTAAATAAGTACCATGAACCTCCAAGCATAGCTCCTTCCCCACACGCAAGAAAGGGCGGCGCCGTCCTTCAGGAGCCTCCTGCAGCTCCAACGGCCGTACCTCGCCGGCTTTTTGCTGGTTCAGCCTTTTTGGGTTGCTGTTAGGGTTTAGGGTTTATGGCTTGGGGTTTGGGGTTTAGGGTTTAGGGGTACCCTGAACTTCCTAAACCGGAAAGCAAGACTGTCTGTGAAGACCGTGTCAAGGGTTTAGGGCTTTAAGGGTTTAGGTTTAGGGTTTCGGGTTCAGGGTTTAGGGTTTAGGGTTTCGGGTTTAGGGTTTAGGGTTGACCCGAAAACAAACCCGAACACGGCAAGCAGGCTCATGCCAGAATTTCAACACATAGTATAGCAGCATCAACAAGCCTCTTGGTTCTTAGTAGGGAATGAAGTACCCTATAGCATCCCAAGGCGCGACCTCATCAAGAAGAGTTTAGGGTTTAGGGTTTCAGGTTTAAGGCTGAGGGTGCCCTACCTCTTCAGGTTCTTACGAGGGAATCAGGGAATGAGGTACCCTGTACAATCCCTTGAAGGTTGTAGGGGGATAGAAGGTGCCGAACTCCCTCATTCCCTACTAGGGCTTGGGGTTTGGGGTTTGGGGTTTAGGGTTTAGGGTTTAGGGTTTAGGATCTAACCAGTAGGGCAAGCATGATCGAAGGGTATTCGTCCGGCTTCACAGCAACCGACTTCTATCGGGGTGCGGGGCTTATAGCTTTTTCGAAGCTTGGAGTTGGAGTGGAGAGGTCGGAGCTTAGGTAGAGTCCCCTAAACCCTAATCCCTAACCCTAAACCCTAAACCCTAAACCCTATAGAGCCTAGGGGGATCGGATTTTTGTTGGCACTGGCGGGGTTCTTTTAGGGTTTAGGGTGTAGGGTTTAGGGATTAGGGTTCTCTGGCTTTCATATGAAGCCCCACACTTAATGAGTGTGCACACGCACCCTAATACAGCCCCAAGCCGAGAACCTCAAAGCCCCAAACCAACCGATATCCTAAACACGGGACCCCCTCGCCTACTGGCCGGTGCTTCGGAACATAAGCGTTCAACGCTCATACCCTGCACCCTGATCCCTAAAACCTAACCCATCACACACAAAGTATTTCAAGCTGACCTTAGGAGCACCTCGGTAGTCCTAAAACATGAGTCCTGACCCCCTTGCTGCGAGTTTAGGGTTTAGGGTGCAGGGTTTAGGATTTAGGATTTAGGGTTTAGGGTTTAGGGTTTAAGGTTTAGTTTAGGGTTTAGGGTTTAGGGTCTAGGGTTTAGGGTTTAGGGTTTAGGGTTTAGGGTTTAGGGTTTTGGGTTTTGGGTTTTGGGTTTAGGTTTTAGGGTTTAGGGTTTAGGGTTTAGGGTTTAGGGTTCTAAACCTGGACCCTAAACCCCTTGCTCTCCCACCACTCAACCCTGAACCCTAAAGTTTAGGGTTCAGGGTCTCAGGTCAAACTCTCTCGTCTCTCCAGCTAAACCTTGAAGGCTGCATCTCCAACCCTACCCCCCTAAACCTGAAACCACTCTCTGGACTACAAAGAGGGGCCCCCTTACTATACTAACTATAGTTAAGTGACTTCAAACCTACTTTGGGATCCTTTATAAGCCAATTAGGGCCCCTCATAACTCTGCTTATGACTCGGGGTGCCCTCCTTGTAGGGTTTAGGGTTTAGGGTTTAGGGTTTAGGGTTTAGGGTTTAGGGTTTAGGGTTTAGGGTTTACTGTTTAGGGTTGAGGGGGGCCTTGTTGGGAGCAGCTCCCGGGTGAATGTCGAGCTGGTACGTGCCTGGAGCCAGCCTACTCGTTCTTCGGAAGGGACTGAAGTACCCCAAACCCTAAACCCTAAACCCTAAACCCTAAGCCCTGAACCATAAACCCTAAACAAGCCTAAACCCTAAACCCTGAACAAGAAGAGTTTAGGGTTCAGGGATTCAGGTTTCGGGTGCCTCGCCCTACTGATCCTTAGCTAGGGAATGAGGGAATGGGGTGCTCTATATGAGCCCTCAAAGCGTCTAGGGGGACCCTAAACCCTAAACCCTAAACCCTAAACCCTAAAACCCTAAACCCTAAACCCTAAACCCTAAACCCTAAACCTCATTCCTTGCGAGGTTCTCGGGCTCTAGGGGTTTGGAGGGGTGTTGGGAGTTAAGGGACTTTGGGGGTGTACAGCAGGGTTTAGGGTTTGGGGGCATAGGCGTTTATTGGGCTTTCGGAGTTAAGGTTTTGGCGTTTAGGGTTTAGGAATGCGGGATAAAAGCTAAACCCTAAACCCTAGACCCTAAACCCTAAACCCTAAACCCTAAACCCTAAACCCTTAACCCTAAACCCTAAACCCTAAACCCCAAACCCGTGTGGCAACTCATGGGTGCCAAATCCCGGAGTACAAGTGGACTCTGGCTGTGCAAGTGTGCCAATGCTAAGGTTTGAGAGAAGCTACCATCTGGCATTCTAGCCGCGATAGAGGAATACCCTAAACCCTAAACCCTAAACCCTAAAGCCTAAACCCTAAACCCTAAAGCCTAAAGCCTAAGCCTTACGAGTGCCGTGAACCCGGAGACCCCAACCCGAAATCCTCAAACAGTAGCCGAGTCCGAATCCCTGATGGCTCGAAGGTTGGGACGGGGATCCGAAAACCTGCCAGGGTTTAGGGTTTAGGGTTTAGGGTTTAGGGTTAAGGGTTTAGGGTTTAGGGTTTAGGGTTTAGGGTTTAGGGTGATCCCTAAACCCACGAGGGGCTGGACCGCGCCTGCACTGAATCCGAGTACCACAGCAGGAACCCACCTGCCACAGCTTCAACCGGTGCTTACGGGGGATGGTTTTTTGGGGATACGGCGGCGAGGATTTGCTGATAGGTACCACCAGAGGGTACTCCTAGGGGGGTTACACAGGCATCGCTCTCCCTCCCCCCCTAAACCCTAAACCCTAAACCCTAAAACCCTAAACCCTAAACCCTAAACCCTAAACCCTGAACCCTGAACCCTGAACCCTGAGACGGACTCAAGGTCTAGAGATTCGCAACGTGCCAAGATGGAAGTCCTTCCATGTTTCTCCATTTCGAGACCACCTCTCTTTATAAGAGACCATCAGCCTATCTGTTAATATATGAAGTGTGTATATATATGTATACACACACGTGTTGCTGAGTAATTTGCATATGTGTTGATTTCTTTGTGCAATGTATATATATATATGTATATACATATATATATATATACATACATACATATATATATATATATGAATATGTTGTACAAGCAGTTTAGCTAGGGTTTAGAAGGTAGGGTTTAGAGGTTAGGGCTTAGGCTTGACAGTCTGCAGACCTGTCGTCCTGCTATCCCACTGCCCTTGAAAAATAAACACATCAACAAGCCCATTTCAGGGTTTAGGGTTTAGGGTTTAGGGTTTAGGGTTCAGGGGTGGAGGGGAGGGCTTGGGAGGGGGGGGGGGGGGGAACCAGGTTTTGGGGCGATAGAAGTCGGAGTTGCCTACAATTCGGCTCGATAGATGAGAAAGGGTTGGTCCTCAGCTCGGCTGGGGTGGGGAGTGGTTTCACCACTGACGATTCCATCGTCCCCCTGGCGATAATTGTCCGTCCACTCGTAACGTGGAGCACGGTTCTGTTCGCCTTTTCCCCTTCCTTTCGTCTTTGCTGATGCACTTTTTGCCTGTGCCTCACGTGATCGCCGGGCGTCTTCATCCTTCGCCAAATAAGCTCTCTCTGCTGGTCCGCATCCTGCTTCCTAAGCTAGTTGCACCCGAAGCCCTGCACCGTCGTTGTGGGTTTAGGGTTGAGGGTTTAGGGTTCAGGGTTCAGGGTAGGGCAGGATTGGGTCAGCCTTCGGTAGCCCCGAACTGAAATAGGGTTTAGGGGTCGAGGCTGTTGGCGTCCCTAAACCCTAAACCCCCAAACCCTAAACCCTCAACCCGAAACCCCAGCCCTAAACCCTAAACCCTAAACCCCACCCTGAGCCATTGCTGACTTTCGCGCCTGGATGCAGTCTGGCTGAAGTACTCCACCTCCGGATCCCGACGCTGTGCGCATTGAAGTGAGGGCTTTGGAGCCCTAAGCCCTATAAACCCTACAAACCCTACAAACCCTACACACCCTAAACCCTAAACCCTAAACCCTAAACTTCCCTGAAGCCCCAGGGCCTTTTGGCAAGGGGAGGGGGAAGCCAGTGGCGCCATCAACACCCCATGTTCATCTGTGCACAATCCGTTCTGTTGGAGGCTTACCTGGTCAATAACCCTAAACCCGAAACCCTAAACCCGAAATCCGAAACCCTAAACCCTAAACCCTAAACCCTAAACCCTAAACCGCACCTGTGCCGAAAGCAACCCTCAGCATGTGGGTAGCTCTCTCAATTAGGGTCCCTTTTGTGGGTTCCTGTTGCAAGGCGGCACCCTTGGAGCTCTAAACCCTAAACCCTAAACCCTAAACCCTAAACCCTAAACCCCAACCCTAAACCCTAAACCCTAAACCCCAAACCCTAAACCCCAAACCCTAAACCCTAAACCCTAAACCCAAACAAATCAAACAAGGGCCCTAATTTTGAGAACTGCCCATGTGCAGCTCTCCACGGAACGCCTGCCACAGAGGAATCACGTTAGGGTTTGAGGCTTAGGGTTTGGGATTTTCATGCATTATTAGGGTTTAGGGTTTAGGGTTTAGGGTTTAGGGTTTAGGGTTTAGGGTTTGGGATTTTTATGCATTATTTGACGCGCTTGCTTTCAACGATCTTGCTGAATCTCCCGAGTCTAGCTCAGCATTCTACAGCTGGGCAGATGTACTTTCCCTTTGAGGAACAACATGCACGATTGAGCCGTTAAAATTGTAAAAGTAACAATGCCAGCAGCCAGCCATGCAGGTGAGAATCTGGTTATACTCACCATCAAAAAACCGATCACTGCAGCTGCACTGCTAAAGACGTAGACGTATACGGTTATTGCACTGAGCGCCCCCAACACCAGCCGTAGAGATAGGTGGTCCACGCTGGATGTGAAAACTCGGAGAACGCGCAGCATAATGGGATGAATGCTGGGATATCCAAGGAAGCACTCAATGGCAAAGCCCAAGAAGTTGCTGATGACGTACGTCGCACTTGAAGCCTTGGTAGCCCCGAAACCCTAAACCCTAAACCCTAAACCCTAAACCCTAAGCCCTAAGCCCTAAACCCTAAACCCTAAACCCTAAAAACAAGGGCTTAAAAAGGGGTGCAAAACTGGGCTACCAAGAAGCATACCCCTCGTGCTTGGCAGACATGTGACATGGTTGGCCTTCACAGCCCAAGGTGACTGCCAGCGCGTCAAAGGTCAAAGGCAGGAAAGAAACTGCACAAAGCCTTGGTGGGCCTTAAACCCTAGGGTTTAGGGTTTAGGGTTTAGGGTTTAGGGTTTAGGGTTTAGGGTTTAGGGTTTAGGGTTTAGGGTTTAGGGTACACCCTTTTCTGTTGTTAGTTCACAAGGGAACCTGGACCCCAAAAAAAGGGCAAAAGGGTACCACTGGGCTACCGAGAAGCTTCCAGGGGATGTCAACCTCGCAGACCAAATGAAGCCCCAGATTTGGGTTTATGGTTTATGGATTAGGGCTTAGGGCTTAGGGTTTAGGGTTTAGGGTTTAGGGCTTAGGGCTTAGGGTTGAGGGTTTAGGGCTTAGGGTTTGTGGGTAAATTTCACTAAATTATGGTTCCTTTTGAGGCCTTCTTCTCGGGCGCCGTAGTATACACGGGACCCCAAAAAAGGGGCCCTGACTTAGAGAACTACCCAAATACCCTATACTACGATACTTCCTACGAAGGGGAATCTAAACCCTAAACCCCTTTTTTTGGGCTGCATTGGGTCGCCCAGGAACCTCACTCCCAATCGCATTGAGAAGGTTTTCTCGCATCGGACCACGTACATATGCATTGAATTGCTGCAGGACCTCTTCTTCACTGGGATAGCTCGTAATAGGTCGGATGGCGTGCATGACTTCCTGCCAAACACTTGCATGGCTTCTCACGCTTGCATCATTGCATGTCGCAACTCCAACGCTGCATGAAGCTCACATCTCAGCTTGCTCTCTCCCTCTCTCTCAGACACGCTCTTCATCGTTGGCGTATGATGTGTCGACCTTCACTCGTCGCCCTTACAAGAACCTGCGTTGGCCCTTAATACACTCTGAAAAATATTCCTGCACATGATCCTGTTATTATAAGGGGGAACATCCCAAGTTATCCTCTTAAACCCAATAAGGGAAAACATAAACTGTCCCAAAGGGCCCGCCTTAGGCCCTAAACCCTAAACCCTAAACCCTAAACCCTAAACCCTAAACCCTAAACCCTAAACCCTAAACAACTGCCTAGAACCCCTGGCAGGGTCCTGCGAGATGAGGGGCATGTCTGCCTCAGTTGTCGGGTGAACGTCCTCCGGCACATCGATGGCAACCCGCAGAGGCGGCTCATACCTAGGATGACCCTTTAAACTCCTCTGAATAATGTTCCTAGCTAGGGTTTAGGGTTTAGGGTTGAGGGTTTAGGGTTTAGGGTTTAGGGTTTAGGGGTTAGGGTTTAGGGTCCTCCTAAACCCAAAGAAGGTAAAATGTAAAAACATCCCAAGGGCCCAACCTAGACACGCTTCATCGAAGAGGTGAACAATTTGTGACTCGATGAGAGCCCTGGAATCACAGGCAGGGTTTAGGGTTTAGGGTTTAGGGTTTAGGGTTTAGGGTTTAGGGTTTAGGGTTTAGGGTTTAGGGTTTAGGGTTTAGGGTTTAGGGTTTAGGGTTTAGGGTTTAGGGTTTAGGGTTAGGGTTTAGGGTTTAGGGTTGAGGGTTTAAGGTTTAGGGTTTAGGGTTTGTTTAGGGTTTAGGGTAGGGTTTAGGGTTCAGGGTTCAGGGTTCAGGGTTCAGGGTTCAGGGTTCAGGGTTCAGGGTTCAGGGTTCAGGGTTTAGGGTCTAGGGTCTAGGGTCTAGGGTTTGGGGTTTAGGGTTTAGGGTTCAGGGGAATCCACGAGAGGTTTTGAACATGTTCGAAATTGCAAGGGCCACGGTTTTGGTCTTCAAGCGTCCCTGACGATTGCAGTGCTGAATGGAACTCATGCCTATGTCATGCTTCCTGTCCACAAAGCAGAACCCAGGCCCTAAACCCTAAGGACCACCGAACGGATTCTGAGAAATCAAACCCAAATATTCCTTGACTATGGCGAGCGTCCTCAGGAGTCCTGATAAACCAAACAAGTCATAAACACCGTTGTAAGCACTTAAGGTTTAGGGTCTAGGGTTCGCGGTTTAGGGTTTGGGGCCTGGGGTTTAGGGCCATTTGCATTGCCCACCCCGCCTGTCACTTTCCAACTTGCACTTGGCATCGCGAAAGTCGAAGGAAGCCATCCGATCCAACAGAGTGTTGTGAAACTGCAGTCTCCGATAATGCACCACGAAGCTGAAAATAACAGAGAAGGCATACCTTGCTTGAAGGTTCATGGTACCTCTTAAGCAACACTGTACTTATAGCCAGACTAGGGCACTTCAGGGGCTTATAAGTGGGTCATAAGTACAGCTAATATCGGTCAATAAGTACCATGAACCTCCAAGTGGTAGCCAGGTAACCATATCAAAACTCATGAGGGCACCCTTTTTCTTAGTTGTCCAGTATCCTAGGGGGAGCTGGAGGAGGTTAACCTCTGGGATTATGTAGGGATTTTTTTAGGGTTTAGGGTTTAGGGTTTAGAGTTTAGGGTTTAGGGTGGGTTACATACTCTACTACTAAGTTTTGGGAGCTGGTTACTTTGCAGGGACACCTTGACCCAAAACAAGGGGGAAACGGTTACCAATGGGCTGCCAAGCCCTAAGCCCTACACCCTAAACCCTAAACCCCCCCAAAAAAGCGAAAAGAAAGGCTACCATAGGGCTACCATGACGCACCAAGCCAGGAGCAGTCCATGCTTCAAACGTCAACAGGAAGAACCCCAGCCGAGTATCAGCCTCAGACTCGGGAGGATCGACCCCGGCTGAGCCGGTAGGCATACACACCTTGGTCGCCCAGGAACCATATGGCAATTTCCCAAAATAGGGGTACGCCTGATATACCCCCCACATGCTATAATCCTTATGATTGGAACCCCCCCAAAAAGGGCACCCCCTATTTTCGGAAACCTCCATATCATAATCAGGGCACCCCTTTTTTGGGGTTGGCTACTTGAAAAGGCAACCCAGAACCCCCCCAAAAAAAGGGGAAAAGGGTACCACTGAGCTACCAAGACACCGTAAGTGCCAGAACGCCCAGGAAATCAATGGCAACAGTGGACAAAATCCAGATGGGCAGCCAGAGAGGCATAAAGTGCATGGACTGTGGTCCGCGCGACCTTCGGGAAAAGATGGCGATTTCGTAGTTGCACCACAAGCGCTCCTGGCTTCCATATTAGAGAGAGGAGGTTTGTGGTTCAGGGTTTAGGGAGGGTTTAGGTGTGTGTGTGTGTGTCACAAGTGTGAACCCGAACAGCCCAAAACCCGAGCAAAATGACTTAGGGTTTAGGGTTTAGGGTTTAGGGTTTAGGGTTTAGGGTTTAGGGTTCAGGGTTCGGGCAAACCCTAGCAAAATGATTTTAAAGGCCACGCCGAGGCTCCAAATACTTCTCATCAAGCAAGATAAGCATCTCACTTGAGTTCGCCACGAAGTGTGGCAGAGCATCCAGCGCTTTTGCTTTCAACTCCAAGTCTGTCTGGTTCACGCAGATGCGATCAAACCAGAATGTCTTCCGACAAAGCGTGTGCCCAAAGAAATACACCAGGCAGAACACCGCCATCGGAAAGTACACCTGGGTAGCCCAGCAATGAATACTCCAACAAGGGCACCCGTTCTTGGGTTAGTGATTGCTTTATCAGGGAACCCAGAAAACAAAAAAAGTGGGGGCAAAGGGGAACCACTGGGCTGCCAAGACACCAAGGAATAGGTCAAGAAGTTGGTCCCGGCCATTGAAACTGCCAACTCAATCACGCCACCTGCCCGAAGGAGCAAAAACAGCGCCGTCGAGATCCAAGCCAAGACCTTCGTTGTCCAGGAACCTACAAGGAGGGGCCCCCTTACTATACTAAGTATAGTTTAGGGACTTAGGACCTAATTTAGGATCCTTATAACCCAATTTAGGGCACTTATAGCCAAGACCTTCGTTGTCCAGCAACCTAGCAGAAGTGAAGGCTCACCTTTGGGAACTTCTAGGGATTCTACTACCCCCCCTCGCCCCCCAAACCCTAAACCCTAAACCCTAAACCCTAAACCCCCCCAAAAAAGTAAAGGTTCTCGACTCTACTACTAAGAGACCGCCGAGTTGGCGGCCATGTTAAAGTTCAGAAACTGGCACAGCGCCAGGTATTTCATCCACGAAGAGCAGTCCCAGGAGTGGCTGACGAAGATGTCAACACTGTCCACCTTTTGGGGTTTAGGGTTTAGGTTTTAGGGTTTAGGGCCACAAGAGTAGCCTAGGAATAGAAAGGGTTTAGGGTTTCGGGCTTATGGTGACCCAAGAGTAGTCTAGGAGTAAATAGGGTACCCGTTTTGGGTTAAAAAAAGGGGCTTGTAAGGGAACCAAAACACTTAACAAAAGGGAATAAGGGCCTACTCTGGGTCCTAACATCCCTAAACCTTAAACCCTGTTTAGGGTTTAGGGATGGTATGTAGCCTACTCTGGATCCGAGCCACGTGCGGCAAGGATTTGTAAACCAGCTCGTCAGGCGCGACTTCCGTGTTGTGCCAGGCCAAGTCTGTCGAGACCTGACGGAAACACCAAGACACTGCAAGATTTACATCAGCGACAATACTTTGAAGCATCATCAAGGATATCAGTAATCACCATAGAGTATATATATATATCTACATACATGTATTTACATATATATATATATATAGATATATAAAGCGGAACATGCCCCCAGCATTCTTTCAATGTCCGAGCCTTCTGGGTTTATCTGGACACACTACGTAGGTTACAATACTTCAAACCCAGGGCCCTTATCTCTCTGCTACTAACCTTGGCTGGCTACTGCAACCCTCTGAAAAAAATCCTAAATCTACTACTTTCTTAAGAACCCCCCCCCCCCCCCCCCAAACAAAAAAAAGTCTTCCTTAAAAGGGTAATATAGGGATGATTATTGGATCTTTTGGGGGCGTTCTTAGGCAAAGAGTGGAAACATGGTCCTCTTAAACCCAACGAGGGAACACATGAGATGTCCCCAGGGGCTAGCCAATGACTAAGGGCCCCGGGGCTGTGAGGGGTTTAGGGTTTAGGGTTTTGTAGTAGAATCCAAGGCACCTGCCATGCATTGGCGGCTTTGAAAAGGCCGTCCGCCACATTTGTTGGGGCAGCCATAGGAGGGCGCAAATAGATCGTCCAGCTTGATTGATCTTGAGAGTCTTTAGATTTCGCAGGTGAAAGGGCTGTGGAGGTTTAGGGTTTAGGGTTTAGGGTTTAGGGTTTAGGGTTTAGGGTTTAGGGTTTAGGGTTTAGGGCTTAACATACTCCACAAACCTCCACAAACCACGTCAATCGGTGGCAGGGAAGGGAATGGAGAATGGCATAGTTACGAAGCAACTATATCACTTAGGCACAACCTCCAGACTCCGCAGATGTCTTCAGCAAGAACTTCAGCTTTGCTCTTCCGAGCTGGCTCGCGTGACATGCTACAATTCAGAGGCGCTGTTTGGGGTTTAGGGTTTAGGGTTTAGGGTTTAGGATCTAGGGTTTAGGGTTTAGGGTTTAGGGCCCCTGGGAAGATCTTTGACAGATGAGCCTCGACCTTAATTAAATCGTCTCTTTGGCGCGGCCAAAATCAAACGTTTGTTCCGGGTTTAGGGCTTCAGCTTAGGGGCTGAATACCATAGCCCAAAAAAGGTTCACCCTGTTCTCGTAACGGGATTATATATATATATGTATATATATATATATGTATATGTATATATATATGTATATATATATATATGTATATATGTTATATGTATATATATATATATATGCATATATGTATATATATATATATAACCCAAAAGGTTAAAAGGCTAACTGCCCAAGCCCCCCTAAGTCAGGAAGGTGAGAACGGGTAACAGGAGGCCCTACAAGGTGCCGATGCATGTCGACCGCAGCGATCGATCATACACCCCATGTGACAGTACATAGGGCTTTAAGGGCTTAGGGTTTAGGGCTTCGGGTTTTAAGGGCTTAGGGCTTAGAGCTTAGGGCTTAGGGCTTAGGGTTTAGGGCTTAGGGTTTAGGATTTAGGGTACACATGTGTATCTGTATATGTCGTGCATGCAAATATTCACTGCTGAAAGTCAAACAGGATGGACAGCGAAACCATTCCAGGAAGCCCAGGCGCTAAACCCTGAACCCTGAACCCTACACCCTAGACCTTCAAACGCCGTTTAGGGTTTAGGATTTAGGGTTTAGGGTTTAATTAGGGTTTAGGGTTTAGGGTTTAGGGTTTAGGGTTAGGGTTTAGGGTTTAGGGTTTAGGGTTTAGGGTTTAGGGTTTAGGGTTTAGGGTTTAGGGTTTAGGGTTTAGGGTTTAGGGTTTAGGGTTCCACTCATCCCCAAGACTCGCCCAATACTGGGTGCGCGACCCGTGTGCCAGGGGCGAACTCCTGACAGTAGGACTTGGAACCCCAGGTTCTAGGGTTTAGGGTTTAGGGCTTAGGGTACCTTGCTCCGGGTTTAAGATTTAGGGTTTAGGGTGTAGGGTTTAGGGTTTAAGCCCTAGGAAGGCTATGCAGGGTTCTTATGGTAACAACCTGCAGGTTCAACCTCACGAGTCAAACAAAATACTCCTAAACCCTCACCCCCCCCAACAAAAAAACAAATGAAATAAAATCAAAGAAATAAATTGCCAATAATTATTGCTAAACCCTCACCCCCCCCTCAACGAAAAAATGTAAAACAAAGAAAAAGAACAACATAAAAAAAATAAACAAAAAGAAGCCGATGCCTGAGAAAAAAAGTGTGCAGGCACTTGAGGGTTTCAAGCCAACAAACTCCAAACCCCAAACCCTAAACCCTAACACCCTAAGCCCTATAGGCCTAAACCCTAAACCCCAAGTTCTGCATGGGTCCGGTTGTAAACCTTTGACCCTAGAAAGTCCATGTCAGGCTTCCGGGCATTTAGGGTCGTGCATGTTTCTGCCTCAAAGGGGTTCCTATGCAGTATAGAAGGGTTCGGTGTTTTGGGTAGCGCATCTTTAGTGCCTTAAAGGGGCTCCTGTTTAGTATAAAAGGGTTCCTATGTAGTAGCTGAGGGCCGCAAGTACCCCGACAGGTTTTAGGGCCACCACGCGCGGGTTCTGGAAGGAGAAGGCAGGGTTTAGGGGGTTCTCGGATCAAGGGTAATGAACATAATGCTTTCTTCTTTCGGCCCCTCGCCCTTTGACACCTCCCTTCCATATTATGGTTTAGGGTAAGTAGCCCAGTAACCATACCATAAACAAGGGAACGGAGAACCCCTCAAAAAGGGCAAAGAAGCACCACTGGGCTACCAAGCACCCCTGGATCCTTAAGCCGATACTATGGAAGCTCTTTTGACTTAGTAAGTAGGGTTAGCAAGGTGGGCTATGGGGATTATAAGAGGTTTCTAGGGCATACTAAGTAAGTAGACTTACTGAGTCAAAAGAGCTTCCACGGAGGGTGTAGGGCTGGATTGGGCATGAGGGTTGTAGGGTTTTGGGTGTTGAAACGGTTCACATGTTAGGTGCTTTCGGCTTCGCGCCTAAACCCTAAACCCTAAACCCTAAACCCCAAACCCTACACCCCAAACCCGCTGGATGCCGACCGTCCTCGTCACGGCTCATTTGTCTCGGTGGCGCGGCATGCGCGGCGACTATGCTTTTTGTTCCCTGGACCCTGAACCCCAAACCCGCAACCCTAAACCCTAAACCCTAAACCCCAAACCCGCAACCCTTAAACCTTAAATCTGCAATCGTGAGGCTCAGGGCTGCAGCAGCCGGGAATATAGGTTTAGGGTTGAGGGTTTAGGGTTTTAGGGTTTTAGGGTTTAGGGTTTAGGGTTTAGGGTTTAGGGTTTTGCTGTCGGGTGTGAGGTATAGGGCTTTAAGGTGGGCTCTGGGGCTTGGAGGGGAAGTGAGCCGAACCGGCTGCGGCCAGCCGGGTGCAATTTCGAAGCTGCTTTGATGGTTTTGCTGATTCTGGTTCAGAAGGGAACCTTGCCGCCAACAGAGGTAACCAGGGCACCACCGGTATCCTGGTGAAAGACCTCAATACCCTCAACCCTCAAGCCGTAAAGACCCTAACCCCCAAGACAATCCTGTGAGGACATAGAGTCTCGGTTAGACATGCTACCTTACCAACCCCAGACCTATGTCTTTGTAGGTTACCTCACATTCCTATAAGGGGAGAAAAATGCAGGCTTGGAGCTCTTAAGGCAAACGCTAAACCCTAAACCCTTGAAGACTGGCCATAGTGAGCAGAGCAGCGGATCAATGCAGTAAAGTCTGTTTTGCAATTGTGAGGGTACTTTGCAGCTTCTTCTGGGGGAAGGGGGGGGCGGAGGGTTCCTAACACTGCTGAAGTCTGTACCCCGAAGCCTGAACCCCGATAAGCCCTCAAACACGAAGCCACAACCCTAAACCCTAAACCCTAAGCCCTAAGCCCTTAACCACGACCTCCAGCAACTTTTGGGTGCAAAGGTTCACGGCATGTGTCAAGGGTCGGTTAAAGCAAAGCGTCTGGTAGCGCAAAGCGGTAGCCTGCATTTCCTGCGGCTTACACTTCAATAGAAGCACAGCAAAGACATGGATATGAGGGTTTGGGGTTGAGTACTTCGGGGTAGTTGCATATGACCATGGGCATGACAAAGGGCGTCAAGATTGGGATTCGCACGACTCTTGCGGTTGGAGCGCGGCCCTATCACCTGATCCCCGCATAGGCATCCCCCCCGCAACTGCGGGGGCATCCTAAGTGGGGAGCCACCGGCCACGAGTCCAATTCTGCTCTGTACAAGAAGTCTTGCCTATTTGATGCCTGGGGCATCACCTAGGTACAAAGGCAAAGAGCGCGCAGTTGAGATGAAAGCTCTCTAAACCCTAAACCTGAACCCCTAAACCCTAAATTACTAAATATCCTAAACCCTAAATTACTAAATAGCCTAAACCTTAACCCCTAACCCCTAAATTACTAAATATCCTAAACCCTAACCCTTATAAACCCTACAAAGTGTTCGACGGCTGGAGAACCTTCGTCTCAAACGAGCGGCAGGCCGAGAATGGGACGTGAAAGTGATCTTCCGTGCACTTTCGAACTCATGCAAGAACTTGGTAGCCCAATAACATATGATCATAAGGGTTTAGGGTTTAGGGTTTAGGGTTTAGGGTTTAGGGTTAGGGTTCAGTAGCCCAGCCCAGTAACACATTTTCATAAGGGTTTAGGGTTAGGGGTTAGCAGCCCAGTAACCAGATTGTAGCCAGGGCAGCCTGTCTATATGACAATAAGGGCTTGGGGTTTAGTAGCCCAGTGACCATAGGGCGGTTTCCGAAGTTGGGGGCCCTTATTGCCCTCTTTATCAGGGAATCCTGGGGTTTGGGTGCCATTTTGGGGCGCCCTATTTTCGTAAAACTCCATAGCATCATAGGTTTAGGGTTTAGTAGCCCAGTAACCAGATTGTAAAAAATCAGGGTACCCTTTCTGGGGTTGGCTGCCTCGATTAAGGGAACCTTGAACCACAAGAAGGACACAAGGCCACCAACGGGCTACCAAGAGAAACTGTTTCGAGGAGGAAAATGGTGGTGCAACTCTGTAGGACTCGTCATGGGAGGTGTAGGGTCGAGGGGCCTTCGACTCTTCAGGGAAACTGCAGTTTAGGGCTTAGGGTTTAGGGCTTCGGGATGTAACCTGGGATGCCTAAAGGTTGTATCCTTGCGTTTGGGGACCCCTTTCAAAATTTAGAGATCCTGTAAAGAATAGAAGGGCCAGCCAAATTAGGAGCAGATGAAGGGAACCTCTTACAGGGTACGTCCTTACGGGTTCAAGTTTGACTCCGCTTGATCCTCGGCTCATTAAGGGAAACTCCTGAACACGAAAGGGTTTAGGGTTTAGGGTTTGGGGTTTAGGGTTTAGGGTTTAGGGTTTAGGGTTTAGGGTTTATTGAGCATGCACAGCCAAGTGTACGATGACCAAGCTCTAGGATGAATTCCTAGTTGCTGAATACCCTGGCCCAAAAAAGGTTCTAAACGGTCTAGGGTTTAGGGTTTAGGGTTTAGGGGTTGGTAGGAACTTAAATTGCCCAAGAAAGAATTCGAGCCCAACCCCCGTGAACCCCCAAACCCTCAGCCAGGCGGTAAACGTAAACCGTAAACCCTAAACCCTAAACC